GTTGCTTATTAGTGCTTCACACTCAACAGTCCAGTTGGTGGCGGTAAATGCACCAAAAGTTGGTTTGCCATCCGCCATAAAACGTTATTAGAAGAAGAAGAAGAAGCCTGCACATTTGCGCAAACATTTTGGTCGAAACGGCGAGCGCGCGGAACGAAACAGCAGGCAGGATGAGCAAACCGAAAGCCAATCACACAGAGTACATTTTTCATTTAAAAACACAAGCTGCAGTGGGATGGGGAAAAACCCGCCATAAAGTCTCGAGAGATGTTTTTGTTGAACTTTAATTTTACATGGCTTCCTAAACATGCGGCTCTTTTGTGTGAGATGCGAGTGCAACGGTGACAGATGTCCCTCTAGAAAATGCGTGAAATATGCGTTATATGTGTGAATATGTGAACGGCTTGGTTTCAGTTTTGACGTAAAATCTTCTCCGCATTGATGTTCTCTTTTCCCGCAATATTTGTAATATGTGTTCTGTGTGAACTGCTTGGTTTCGGTTTTGATGTAAACAAGATCTTCTCCGCATTGTTCTCTTTTTCCGCAATATTTTTAATGAACAACACAGCAGCGCCGCATCTAGTGGCTTCAACTGGATAGGCTAACAAAAACATTAAAATGCAATGACACTTACATCGTCATCGCATCTCGTGCGTGCGCCACTGATACGGCTGCCTCCTTAACACACACCTAAAATTCGAATGCAACGTTTTCTGTTAAATACATTAAAGAAATAGGATTAATCAGGAGAATTTAGGAATATATATATATATATATTTTTTAATATATATAAATATGTATATATCAGTTGCTTATTAGTGCTTCACACTCAACAGTCCAGTTGGTGGCGGTAAATGCACCAAAAGTTGGTTTGCCATCCGCCATAAAACGTTATTAGAAGAGCTAACTGAGACTTGTTATAGCACTTGCATATCATTGCTCTTTTGTTGATTTTGATTGCTTGCATTGTCCTCATTTGTAAGTCGCTTTGGATAAAAGCGTCTGCTAAATGACTAAATGTAAATGTAATATAGTGTGTGTGTGTGTTTTATTAAATGTATATTTATTAATGTATTAGTGAGGTTTTATTGTGTTCACTAAGCTATCACACAATAATTGACATTTTATTTGGAACATATAACTTACAAAATGGTTCTAGTTTAGGATAGTTTTATCTAGGACAGTTATGGGCAGTTTTTAGCCTTCCTGGTGCTCAAACAGAAGACCATGGCATAATCAGCAAGGTCACTGTTTCAATTCCCAGGGATAGCAATTACTAATAAAATGTGTTCCTTGAATGCAATGTAAATCACTTTTTAGACAAAAGTCTGTAAATGTTGCTAAGTGTTTAAAACCATACAAATAGTGGTCGACCGACATGGGATTTTTAATGGCAGATGCCGATATTGAGAAATCAGTCTGGCCGATATGAGGCCGATATAATAAATGTAATTACAGTAAATGAGAGACATGCAGAAAATTGGTGAAACTAAATGAACATTTATTTTGCATAAATAATTATTAAAACCTAAATTAAAAATATGTAAACAATTGAGGTAACAATTACTGCAACCTTTCCTTTTCTTTTGCTGAAACATCTACAAAAAAATAAATAAAATGATGTATTTTATGTACAATAGGCCTACATATATAGTTTACCGAGCAACAGGTTGTTTTAATTATAGAATGGGATAGTTGGTTAATAATAAAGATTTATGTCTTTGATCTGTTTCGTTTTGCTTGTCTGTTTCATTGTAAAAAAATAATACAAGCCTGAAGGCGTATAATTACATGCTTGGTTATCAGCATATAGCAGCATTAAATAAGACCAGAACATATGAAAAGGTACACTTCATATATTCATATATATATATATATATACACTACTATATTACGCCAATCATGGGCAATCAAATACAGCGGATATTCCTGAATAAACATATAAAGGAATTCAAACTTATTATTATTAGCCTACTTAGAGTTCTCGTGTCGATCCAGCTTTCATTCTGGAGTGCACCGGCTTTTGAGTCCACCGAAAAACAGCATCTTGTTTAGAAGTACCCGAGAACAACGCGCATATCTGAAGAAGAGCCAGTCACGGAATTTTTGATTGTTTGTGAGGTAAACATGATTTCATTTTTGCTTGAATTCGTTTATATCACATCTGTGTCTCCCACCGGAGCTGCCGCTGGACTGCGGATCTGATGCATCACGGTACGTTGGAATAAGACATTGCTGCACACCAGAGTGTTATTGTATGAAGCACAATGTAGCTTCACGTTTGAAAGTGAATGATGATTGATCATTTTAATGTCTGTCAGGTGCTGGCTTCACATCTGAGTGGCTTGTCTTAAAGAGGAAGCATAAATGCACGATATGGTTTCAAAATCCGTTTTGAAAAACATCAGCCACATGGAAAGACTTATCGGTCGATGCCGATATTTAAAAAAAATCCAAATATCGGCCGATATATTGGCCGCGCGATATATCGGTCGATGACTACATACAAAACCACACTCATAGAGAATAGGCCCAGTCTCTCCTGTATGTATATATAATGCTTGAACCTCAAACGGTTAACTGTAACCATTCCATAGCATAGGAGAATCGGTTGCTTATTGTTTTTTTGGCTGTCTGTTAATTCACTTGCATGTTGGATATTGTCCCAGTGTGTTTTATTTGGCTCCAAGAGTCATTTTCTAGTACTCCCCACCAGCTGAGAGTGACAAATGTTTAACAGAGTGTCAGTTTGTTGTGACATTTTTGACATAACTCACGCTTGGCTAGATACATAGAATTACTCTTATTTATTCAGGAATCATTTGAGATTGTGATGTGATTTCCGTCGGTCAAGTTATAGAAAAACTGTGTGGATCCATATTGCGTTTCAGAGTGGAAAGCATTTGTCTAAAGCTGATTATGTCAGTTTGTTAATTGTACTTCCATGAATGTGTCGATTTACTATCAGGATTTTTATACCTTGATACTTCTTACATTATGTAAGAAGCAAACGACATACACATAATCCAACGTAAGTGGCTTTGAAATTCCTCTGTGGCTGTGTTAACTGTTTTTAACATGCAGACTGCACATGCTGAATGAGCAAGTCTTCAGTCAGTAAAGTATCAGGTTACTGTGGAAAGTAATTGAAAGTACCACCCTCTTGTGCTGTTTTCAACACTCCTTTATTCACTGGACTGCAGTGAAGTCTGAAGGGTGCATTGAAACTGACACTGAACTCTGGATAATAGTGTTATCATTTCTTCAAAGACCAGGCCACATTGGTGATCAGGTTTTTGTCACATGCATGCAAAGCGGAGAGATTCTAGACTTAAGTAAAATCCTCTGATAATAATGTTACAGCATGTTCTGCGAGGTGGAACTAAGGTTATATTTTTATAATTTTATGGTCTTGGTTGCTTTTGACAATTAGTTTGTATGATAAAAGTACAATCCTTGTGCTATAAACACATAAATTCATCACTGTCAAAATGAAAGGTATCCTGGTTTTCCCTGCATGCTGCTCCTTCTCAAAGGGATAGTTCACCCAGAAATAAAACTCACCCATATGTTAGTCTGACCCCATATTAATCACTATGATTAGCACACTTTATTCCAAGTATGCTGAAGTCAAATGATAGCTTTGTGTGAGAAACAGACTCAAAGCCATTATTCAATCTTCCCTTCATAATTTGTGCTTATGTTAAAAAAAAAAAAAATTGTGCCTTCCATTATTAGTGTATCACATCACAGAAGTTAAAGTCACTGGTTTTCATGTATCATATGACCAGTTGTGATGCCTCAAGTTACACTCGAAGTCTGTTAGTGAACAATACTTAAAATGACCGCTATTTTTATATTTTAATGGTGCTTTTTATCCTTTTTGTAGCTTGGCAGTATAAATCACCAGTCTGTTTTGTTGTATGAAAAAATGGATCATAGACACGCTGTGCTTTTGTGTTTTATGGTACGTTGCATTGGAGGTTTATATTTTATCAGTTAATGCATTCCCTGACAATCAAACCCATGACTTTTGTGTAGCTAGTGCCATCTTTGAGCTACAGGAATGCATTATCTCGATACATATGCATTATTATAGATGGATAAAATGTCATGTAGCCTAAATAATTGATGATAAAATTATAAAAAATGATAATAAAAAGTATAATGTTGTCTAAATGTATACTTATTTAATGCATAAGCCAACAGATCTTATAATTAGATTGGATCAGTGATATTTTAGTATTATTTATGGACTGTATTGTATTTATTAATATTTTAAATTTTTTGGTTACATTTTCAGTTTCAGTTTTTTTAAGTTAGTAACTTTGTCAAGGGCTTTTGGTGTTTTTATATTTCTATTTAACTTTAACTTGGCTTAATGTTTTATTTTTTAGTCATTTTAGTACTTCAACTTCAACTTTCAGTTAGTATTTCAGTTAGTTGTTTCATTTCTTTCATTATTCTTTAATTTTAGTTTCTAATTTTTTTTATTTTTTAAGTTTAAGTTTTAATCATAGTTTCATTTCAGTTTTAGTTTACAACAACACTGCATTAGATAAAACAGAATTTTATTTTCCATTTGAAGCTCATGTGAAAGAAGTTATTTTAAAGCCTCTCTTCAGTCTTCAGTCTTGGTTGTTTGAATCCACACAAAAGTCATAGGAACCGTTCAAAGAGCACATGTAACTCCTCCTACACCTCATCACACTGTGATTTTTGTTACTGCGCTAATGGTCACATTAGATTGGCTTAAACTGTTAGTGTAAGATGTAATGTAGGACAGTGGCGTCAGTCATTGGTAATCTGTAGAGTGGTCTCACTGTGCTGGACAGCAAGGCCTTTGTCTTTGAGAGGGCAGGCAAAAAAAGAAGTGGGTCGTTGTCCTGTGCAGTTTTATGTCCTGGTGTTGCGTAGGGTGGGCATGAGGGGGCAGGGGATGGTGGATGCCAGCAGGGCAATCCTGTCAGACTGGCTCAGCCTGCCTGTTGATCATAGAGATGGGCACCATAGTAGATCTACAGTGGCCTAAAAACTATTTAGATGCTCAAATTATACTAAAACCACATGCTTGATGCTAGACCTTTTCTCAACCTTTTCTGAATTGCCTTTACAATAATCACCTGGTCCATGGAATCCCATTTCCACCAAATAAGAAAAAAGGATGCTTTGTTAAATCATAATTATGTCATAAAAACTCATTGCCGTGGCATGACATTTAAAGTCAAAATTATTAGAAAGTCATAATTATGACTACAAATATGGACATAATTTCTGACATTAAAAGTTATGACTGACTTTTTTCATTGGAATTTTTTTTGTCAAAATTAAGAGATGACAAAAGTGTATTTTTATGTCATAAATGTGACTTTTTATCACCTAATTTTAAGTTTTTGTCATAATTATATCTCATAATTATGAATTTGTATTTTTAGTATTTTTACATATTATTAACACTTAAATGTCCTTTCATGAAACAATAAATCATGAAATTATGAGATAAGAGATAATGAGATGACAAAATGTAGACTTTTTATGTCATAATTATGACATCTCATCATTTTGAGTTTTTGTCATAATTTCTACTTTTTATCATAATCATGACTTAGTATTTCACAGATTTAACATTGCAGATTGAGACTGATTTAACTGAGCAAACATGAACTGTAGACTCACTGGAAAGGATAAATATTTGTGAATATAAATGTCTAGTATGTTTCCCTTTGACTTGATAACTAGGTGGCAAAAGGACTTTCTGGTGTCCTTACAAATGGTTGTTTCCTGTATCACAATAAAGAACTTTATCTTACAGAATTTCAATCAATGCTCTATTTTAGTCAAGGTCATCCCTCAAGTTACGGTGATGGGAAAAATGCAAAGTATCCTGTTCTCAAAGTCAAACCCGCATTCGTGAGTTTGTACCTAAATAGACCTGTGCAGAATGTGAAACCAGTGACATGGAGTAAACCAGCAAATGTCTCACAAACATTGTTTTTTCCTTTTGTTAACAGTGATCTAATGAAGTGGTGATTTTTCTGTAGATGTTTTGAATTTGTTTCACTCTTGTTTGCAGCTTTCGGGCTCACTGGTGTTGGCTGTGGGATTATGGTTGAGGTTTGACCCAGACATGACCAGCCTCTTAGCCGAAAATGATGCCCCTGAGCACTTCTTCATTGGTGAGTTGGAAAGGAACGTTAAAGCCCACATCAAATGTTTACATAATAGTCTTTGTAGGTTTCATAAACCTGCATAAACCTAAGCTATAATATAGTGTCAGGAAAGCAGACTTACAGGGGTTATTAGGTGAGGAAACAGGCCATGTGTACATCTATGAATGGGAGAGACTGTAAAAAGAGGCCACGTGACCAATGTATAAAATGACCAACCACAGTTTCCTTTCTTTTTCTGTGGCTAATATCATACATCATTTAGTCGTCCAGAGTGAAGATTTAGTCGCATATGCGAGTGATTTACTCGCAATGTAGAGGGTTATAATGGGATAAAAAGTCTGTGTTGCTATGATCATGTGGCATTTTTTAGTTCTACCATGGTACTTTATTATCAATAGCAAAGAACAGAAAACGTCATAAGGTAATCCATACCTTGCAGTTTCATTCATGCAAGCACAACACCAACACCCTATTAACAAAGCACAGGGCTCCAACGGCAATGTCAGGCTAAAATTTCCCATCTGCGTCATGGAGCCCTAATGGCCTCTGTAATGGCGTATCTGATATTGGTTTTAGCTGTGATGAATGAGCAGGGACACTGGTAGTTCTTGCTAATAGCTAAAGCTGATTTCTCATAGGAGAGGCTGTCTAACTGGTGTCGGTGAATTATAAAACCGTTATTTCCCCTTTAGCTCTAGATTAGTCCCCAGAGCAGGCAGTTGGTGGTTGTAAAGCTGCTCTCTCCATATACCTCATTGGTCTTGTAGAGGATTGATGCAGTAATTAATTTATTTAAAATGGTTAGGGCTCACTAGTTGTAGAACAGTGTTTAAGGACATCTATTTGCTCATTTAGAATCCGGCATCCTACTGTTTTTCTGCTCGTGGCAGCAATGAGATGATGTACATGGACCTCTGGTGACTAGACTGCGGTCTTGAGCTGCATTTAAATGCTCATAATGGACAAACAACTACTTTGCAAGTGCTAACCACAGTGATTATGAAACAAAGTGCAATACTGGGTCATTAAGTCTTGATATCATATGCTCGGATACCCAGAAACTGAGCAGTGAGGTTAATCAGCACTAGTATAACCTTAAGCAGAAATGTTTCAATAATGTCTCTGCGACAGACCAAATATGAAAAAAGGAGAAGTGAGAGAAGCTCTGTGGATCCATCTCTGATACACAAGATAACAAGCATTTCCTGGCAATATGCTTATACTTGGAACAAACAGTTTCTACCCAGAAACATCACTTGGCAAACAACTATGCGGTATGAAGCTAATGGAGCAGATACATAAAAACAAAAACAGGAAGCAAGATGAAGAATTCAACAAAAATACAATATTTTATGTGCTAATATTATATATGTTCTTTTATTTTTATATGAAACACAGCTCAGCTCAGACTTATTTAACTAAAGATATTTCAGATGCTGATTTTGGTATCATGTGAAAAGCAATATTTACCAGATGCAAATTACACTTATTTTAGCCGCAGAAGTGGCGGTAGTTTGTGATACTTCAATAAACGGATGATTGTGCTTTTTAAGTGAGCTAAAATCCTAACATTAAAGTAGGGGTGTGAGATCTGACGATTTTATATAGTGATCGATCTTGAAGACGTCTATGATCTACTTTTCAAGCGAATTGTAGAGATTGTGATCTTTTATGCCCTCATGTCGCCGGTCCTTAAAAGTTTAACATCCAAATCTGTCAAATCATGTAACATTACTGTCGTAAAAGGCAGTTTACTGTGGGACATGCTTTATTTTAAAAAGAGTTATTAAAAGCGCATTAACTGAAAGAGCCTGTTCCTCAGACACGTTCTGTGCGTGTGCTCCGAGGCGGAGCTGAACACGAACAAGCAAAGTATACTTGGGGTTTCAGGCGTGCACATAAACGGTCAAATATATAGAAAATATGCCAACATGGGGCTGCACGATTAATCGAATGTGATTGTCATGCGCATCTTGTCAGTAAAGGCGGTTCTGTGATTAGTAGTCTCCATCACGTGCTTTCAGGTGGAGCAGCATTTACGACACAGAGCCGTAGTTCACTGACAAGCTATGCAAAATCGTGTTCATAATCGCACGATTATGAAATCGAAGAAATCATTCTGCAATTATGAAAGCTGTTTGCGTAGCTTGTCAGTGAACTACGGCTCTGTGTAGTAAATGCTGCTCCATCTGAAAGCACGTGAAAATACCACATTTAATATGTTTTTACTCAACTCACTTCATAATGTCAGTCGAGTGTTTGAAATAAATCCTTCTGTGAGATGATGTGGCTTCTTACACAGAATAAGGCAC